GCCCCCCCCCCCGGGCACCAGCTGTTTACAGGAGGCAGCTTCTGGCCACGTGGATGGCGAACAGCACCAGCATGAAGACCACATGCTGACCGAAAGGATGAGCGTAACTCCGGCCCCCGGGCAGATTTTTCTGCCTTTCTCTCTCTCTCAAACTCTTCTGCCAACGTCTGTTGCATCACCGGCCCCCTTTCCTGCCCGACGGGGGACTGAGGGCACCCCGAATTCAGTTTTTAAAGTTCAACGCTGCCTTTAAAAATCACCCCAAGTGGCAGCAACTGAAAGAAAACCAGGCCTAAAAGGAAGAAGCTGTTGCAGGCCTGGTCGGGAGGAGGAAAGGAGCAGAAAAAAGGGGGAGAAAAGAAACACGGTTCTGTGAGGGGAGCTGCAAGAGCTGAAGCTGTGAGCTGAGGAGGAGGAGGCTCCATCCGGAACTTTCTCCATCCCCAGCTTAAAAACAAAACTGCCCATTTGGGGCTAGTCAGGGAGTCCTCGGTCTCCGGGCAGGAGAAAGGGTTGAGCCCAGGGCCGAGAGGGCGCCGGCGGAGGGAAACTTGAGGCGCCCTCGGACAAAAACACCAGCCCGGAGCCCCCTCAGCAGGCAAACAGAGGGACTTTGTGGGGCCGGCCGGCTGCCAGCGGCTCTTCCCTAATGAGCGCCTCGGTTGGGCGGCAGCGGTGATGAAAAGCCGCAGTGTGGGCTTCCCAGTGGGGGGGGAAGGGGGGGGGAGGAGGCCGGGCCCGTCAAAGGCCCACTTTGTCTGTCCGCTTGGCTCCCTCCCCTCCCTGCCCGCCGCCCTCCTGGCAGCAGCGGGAGGAGGAGGAGGAGAGAGACAGGGGCTGCTGTTGTCCTCTTTTGAATTCGCTGCGCCCCCCCTCCCTCTCACCCCCCCACCCCAAAGCCGGATCCAGACAGGCAGGGAGGAGAGCCCAGAGCCAGAAGAATAGCGGTGGTCTTTGCCAGAAGACGCCAGCTGGGGTCCTGTGCCCTGGCCTGGCAGCCTCCCTGCCGCCCAGCCTGTCCCCTGAAGCATCTATATGGGGCTCCCAGGGGTAGGGAGGGGCCAGGCCTGCCGTGAACCCCAAAAGCCCGAGCAGAAGCCACAGTTAGCAAGTTTGCTTGGAAGGAGGGGAACTCGCTCTGGGTTCCCAACGCCTCCCCCCCCCAAAAAAAGCTACAAAACACAAGGTGGCAAAAGTGCCCATTTATCCGGAAGAGCCCGATGAGGTTGTCCACCCCCAGGACCGTTTCTTGCTTTGGG